AGTAGTAGTAGTAGTGGTGGTATTAGTAGTATAAGGAACGAAAACTCAGGTACAGTTAACTAATTTATTATCTTATGCAAAACCAAACAGTGGCCTAATTAAATATGAAAATCATACATTGAATATATCATTTGTATATCTTCCTTCAGTTGTCCCATTCATACTTCGTTATTCTTCCAATTTTGTTGTTATTCTGACTGCTCTTTGTTTTCCTTGCTTTTCTCTTTATTTTCATCGTTTGCTGATAAGCATTCTACTTCTGATTCCTGCTATATACTACTTGTATCTGTACATATAAGTAGTGCACACCACAAGAACATACAATCGTGGAATTTTTAAATTTCATAACATAAATATTTTAGCTATATTTATTAATTTGTAATTTTCAACAAGTACTTATAGTGTGATTTTATTGATTTATATTATTTTCTTTTTTTTTGGTTATTTAAGTTGACGAATCATATAGGAGATACGTCGGAATTCCATAGTAAACTTAACTGATGGGAATGATCACGGAGTACCAGTTAACTGGAATGATAAATAATTCCTACTAGTGAAACAAATTGAAGTTTTATAGATTTGCACTTTTTTTATTCATATCAAAGAGGTTCCCATAAATGAAGATACTCATCGAATGTATTTCTCCTAAGTATTTCAGGCTTAATAAATTGTATAGATTTAGCATAGCATTCTTACTGTAATCTACTAGAGTAATACATATTGGTGAAGTTTATATTCTCATTGTATAATTAAATACAATGAATTCAGTCGAAAATCCTAATTGTCGAGTTACTTTGCCTGTAAACTTGTTACACTTTTCTGCTAATTTATACAAGTATCTTACTAAACATTAAAAAGTTCGCTAAACTGATGCTCATAATTAAACAGATACTATTTTTTGGCACATAATTGAAGTCGAATTGACTGAAGATTTATTAACAAATAATTAGGCAAGCCTATAATTTATGAACGAACCAATCAGATTTACGATAACAGATCTTAGATTTTGTCGCGAAATTCATTCATCCATTCGTCCAAATATCGTCTTGGCATTATAGCTGATATCAGTTCGTGATGAAAACCCTAAATCTAATTCTTAATACTAACCACCAACTGTCAGTCTTAATCCTTATCCTTCACAGTGGTTTAAAACCCTCTTTTAGCCATAGTCAATGGATGGATACTCTGAAGGTCATTATAGCGTCACTCAAAGATCGTTTATAAATTATACTCACCTATAATTACATACTATTACCTTAATATTAATAGGGGATAAATATTTCATCAATACACGTTGGTTAACTAAGTAACTTCTTAGCTACCATTTTAGATCTCTCAATAATGTATTGTGATAATAGTAACTGGAATTCAAACTCATCAAAGCTAATAAGTATTACTTTATTTTAGATAGTTTTATCAGTATTTTTACAATGCTATCAATGTATGAATTAACCCAGTGTACTATTAGTTATCATAATGAATATTCCTATTTCATCCTAATTTACATAAGATCCATATTATATAGCAGATGTTTCATTAAATGATAGTAATCAACATTAGACAATAAGATAGTTACTATTTGAATATATATTAACAAATATTACATAATTAGTTAGATCTTTAATATAATTGTATTTATTATCACAAATGAATGTTTATTATTGATAACCGATAAACCATGAACAGGTGATTTTGTTTTAAAGGTGAAATATTTCATTATTATTATTATTATTATTATACACTTGAAGCCTTTCATAAAGGATTGAACGATTCACTTGAAGACTTTATTGTAAGTACATACTAATCATTTACCTAATTTAGTATTGACTTAACAACATTAAAGTAGCTAATTATTCATGTATCCTTATTCATCATTATCAACTTCAAAAGTTTTTCGAAAAAATGTTGTTTTGTTCTTTTTTTATCACTCAATTTTCATTATTTAACTTTGATAATCAACAGATGTTGAAATAAGATAAAATCTTGTATAGAAAAGGTATAAATCTTAGTTAAAACGCCTACGAAAACCTTTCTTTTCTCTTTATATATCAGTTCAATACTAAGTTTATCCCACTCATTTCATGTATAATGTAATTTATGATAAACATTTCTTAAGAAAGTTAGATTTTATGAAAGTATAAATCGATTAATAAAAGTGTTAATGAAAGTCTAATAATTATGAAATACTATATGGTTGACTGTTATAACAAATCACTATTTATCAGTATAGGGTTGTGGTTATTATTAAGTTTGTGTTTGAGATCATGAACTGATTGATTTTAGATCATCATTGAAAACTTGGAAGCACTGGGCGGCCATTTCGTCCTATCGTGGGACTCGCGCGAGCGGGGTCGTGGATGCGCACTGATGAGGAGTCTTACAATAGAACGAAACAACTGTTCAGTGCTTCCCGGTTTTTACTGGTGGTCTAAAATCAGTCAGTTCATGATCTCAATCAAAAATTACTATTTCGTTATGAATGGTTTTACTATCATTTCAATAAAATTGTATAAAGCAACAAGAAAGTATATTCCCAAGATTTCAAGTTTGTTTAGATAAGTCTACGAATAAAGTATGGTATCATCTAATGAACTCATTAGATAATATGAATGGGATATTGTATTTAAACAAAATTATTAATTCAGTTTGCTTGGTTAAGCTTTAATTCCTAACTCAATCTTCCTTCAGTCAGCTACAACGTAGGACAAGACATATATATGCATCTGTCCAAGTTGCCATACGTCATTAGCACAAAAGGATGAACACCGAATTCATAGAAGTAGTTACTTCATTGGTGGTAATATATAAAAAAATGATCGCTTATAAGGAGATAGTACAGAAAAAAGAATTAGTTGGTAGAAAGAAAGATACAAAGTAATTTTAATCTCTTAGTTTAAGAGAAGACAGAGAGTGTATATACCGACGCCACTGTAATCAATTCTGAGCCATGTCACTCAGAGTCTCCGACCATTGGTTACGATAATCATGCCGACCCGAACCAAGTAGTCTGCATCTACCAACATGGCTCAGACTAGAAGTTAGTGACTTTAAGCACTGATGCCACGTTTTGGTTTGGCCACCCTTAACTTTCTTCTAGCCGTCCCTAACACTAGTCAGCATTGCGCGTCGTGGTAATCGGTGTTCAATATTAAAAAGAATAAATGTGGTACCGAATTTTACTGCTAAGTCTAAAAGGTTTAACAAAGGGGTTCAAAGCAACAAGTGATATTTTGTTCAATAATGCTAAATCAATTATGACAAGTTGTTTAGTATTGAGCATAATTAACCACATTCTTATAACAAAGTGAGTACATTAGAACTTAACAAGCGAATCAGAGTATATTTCCAACTAGTTCAACTTAAGTCATTTGATAATATAGCTGGAGTAATATTTTGTTAGACAAAGTATCTATTTGCTTTTTTTCAATTTAGTCATATTTGACATTTCATTGATAACAAATTGTGTAATTTACATCGTGTATTTGCATTGACTAGACAACTGTTGATATTCAGGGAGTATAGAACAAGTTTTTTTGTCCTAAAATCAGACTTTTTAACGATACACACCTATAACCCCACAAGAAATCAAACCCAGGATTTAAAAATCATATAATAAACACCTCATCATTAGATCACTCAGTTGCCAAAAATGTTAAGGTTAAAGCTTAACAAAATAATTACTCAATCGTATATTCAGATCTTAGCATCAGTTTCTTACAAGAACTGTAAATTTTAGACATAAACGTTAGTAGAGATTTAATCGATATTTTAATATCACTAGTGCAATATTTAAGTTTGACAAATCTTAGTCTATTTACAACTATGTTTAGGAATTGGGAAATTTAGATTTGTTTTTCACTGAAGTTCTTTACTATAGATTTTGTCCTTCATTAAATTTACAATGTTACCAGCCGTACCGGTTTTTTACATAGCTGCTCATGTTATTCAGCGTTTAATGAATGAACAATCGAATGGAAAAGACCAATTTATTGTTTAATGCAAAATTACAGAGTGCATTTGTAAAATGTGAAAATTATACATTAAATACATGATTTGCATATTATCCTTCAGTTGCCGTTTACATCTTTCATGATTCTTTTAATTCTGTTGTTACTACAATTATTTTCTATTTCCTTTCCTCATCTCTTCAATCCAATCTTCTCAATCTTCTGCTCGTATACATTCCACTTTCGATTGCGGTTACATACTACTTATATCTATCAACATAATTAACATGTACCACAAACATATATCACTCATAAATTCAAATGACAAATCCATGTATTTTTTTCAGATCATTTGCAATCTCTCCAGCTCATCTGTAACATTTTTGAAGAGGTACTGTTTTTAATTTTTTTTTGTTGGCAAAATGAATGTTTTGATAGAAATTATAAAAAAAACACATTACTTATGAACAATGGCCTATGCATAACTACAAGCGGTATTAATGGATAACTATTATCACTCATAGAACATAAAGGGAAATTAGACAAGTCTCAGTTTGTGTAGAATTAATTTTGGTTACTCTCAAATGACTACTATATTTTCACAATTTGTTATCATATTCACATTAGTTAAAGTGTTAACTACACTGATGATTATTTATCTTAACATATGATGAATATAAAAGTTGGAAGTGTAACGTTTTATATCTAATACAGCCTCCAAACAATTTTTGTTAATGAATGAAATGTAGAATTGAATGCGAAAATGTACTGTGTATGTAATAAAGAATTAAAAATAATTTAATAAAAATGTATATTTCTTGAGATAAGTTTAACATAGAACAAGCACAATCATGAACCGATATCATAAGTGTTTTTTTTTCATTAAAATAAACTAAATGTATGAATGCAATACTACTGAAATTCAATGTAAGCTACTTATTTCATGATGACGGAGTTGTACTTATTTCATCTTTAGTATATTCAACTGCATACGTTGTAAAACATTTTCCTCATAAAAAAGAAAAAGAAAAACTATTCAAAGAAAGATGAATAGGATTTATTGAATGAACATAGTTAGAAGGTTATTTTAAATGTTCATGGAAATAGTCAATCATTCATTATCATCAATGTAAGATCTGACAAATATTTCTTTAATGTAACATACGAACTTAACATTTTATAATTACAAATAATAATAACAATTTAGTTATTCAGTTTTCATTATATTAAAGGAAAAAATTGGATGATGAATAGAGAAAAGATTAGTTGCTAACTGTATTTTAATTTTTTATTGATTCACTAAGCTTTCTTAGTAGGTTATTATGCAACTGTAATGAAAAATGTCTATTTACTAATGAATTTCTATAAACTATTTAGTTAATGTTTGTCAATATAAATTAGGTGAACCAATATTTAATTAACTTTGGCTTTGAATTGATCAGTTATTGAGATTATTACTAGACTGTGAGTACACTCAGAGCTAGTATGTTAGAGTCTAGGTAATTTTTAGCAAACTGACTTATTTAACACTTACAAGTGAGTCGACTAATATTGAACTGATTATATGACGACTAACTTATTGAGTAGTTATGAAATTTGTGTATGTGGTGGTGTAGCTTATATGTTTAGAAGTCGGTTATTTTCATTACTAAGTAATATTATATATTAGTTTATTGGGTATGTCGGTAGATATGAAATCCTGGACGAATGCTTTGCCCTGACTAGCTCTGTGAATAATAAATCGAAGTTACAAGTGAACCTTACTGGACTAAAGTCTTAATATGAATACGAACGCTGGGAAGCAGGTAAATTCAGATAGCGAGTCTCAAAAAGTAAGAAACAAGTGTTCTGCATTAAATTGCTGGTTTCACATCAAATATACTGGGGTTTGTGATATAATTCTATATTGAGGCAGTCTATGCATAGTGTTAACATGCCAACAGAAACTGATCATTTGCGGTTTTGAATATCATTAACAAGAATCAACAAACCCTCAAGAACTGTATAATCTTTATTTGAGATAAAAAATCACTTATTTATGGTACTGGATATAATTAAAGATTATATTTGAATCAATTCTCTGTTTGCCGGGTAGTTTTAATCATCAATCTAAGTAAACAAATTAATAAGTGTAAATGTGAATATGAGATATAGTAAACTGTTCACTTAATTGCTTTGTACATCGTTATGTACAGAACAAGCTGTGAAATGTATATGGAGAAATTCGAACACTTCACTTCTATCTGAAGTTTGTGTTGATGATGTCGTTCAGAAGAACGATGAAAGCTCCACGACCAAACCATCCAGCTCAGAAAAACAAAACTCTATCAAAAACTAACCATAATTTTCGTAATCACTATTCGATATATATATATATATATAGTTAGTATTATTTCTCTTACCTATTGTTGTTATAATAGTGACAGCAAATAAAATACTTCCTTCAAATGTCCAATTAAAATCATCTGTATGCTCTGAACCATTCCATCCTTCATCTTTTATAGCGATTATAATTTGTTCAACATATTTAGCTAATTTATATTGTAAATTATTTTCAATTTGATAACTTTTATTTAATATAATTGGTAATATATCATCTAATTTTGTCAGTAGTATAATATGTTTTGGTAATGAATTAATTAAATTTTTAGAAAAATATAGATGATCTATTTGTGTATCATTTTTGAATTGTAAATTGAATGTATTATTATTATTTTTATTATTATTATTATTATTATTAGATATTGATATTGGTAATTGTGTCCCATTATTTATTGATTTTATTGAATTGGTTACATTCAATAAAGACGAGGTAGTTACATTATATTCATTTGAATTGTTCATAGAATTGATCAATATAGAAGTTGAATTGTCTAATGTTTTATTGATTAATTTATCTGTTATTATGTTACTAGGTAATTCGATTTCTTGTTGTATATTAATATGAGTATAATTTTTATAAAACCACCATTGTGGTAATATTCTTTTTGGCCATCCTAATGTTGATAAATACCATGATAAACCATATAATTGTTGTTTTTGTTCATCTTTTAATAGATTTGTTAAATATAGTTTATTATTATGACTATTTATTTTAGTTAAATGTTCAATGGAATCATATAAATTTGAATGAATATTGAATTTTTTGCCAAAATTTGTTTCTTCAAATTGTTGAATAATATTTACATGATTCAATATTGTATGGAATAATTCTAATTGTGAATTTCTCCATTCTAATATTAAATCTTTAATTAAAATGGTACGTTTTTCAAACATTTTAAGTTTTATTTGTGATTCATGTTCACGTTCTACAGCGTAAAAGATTGAACCACCTATTATGGTATAAATAATAACTAGAATAGCTAAACCAACATGTGATAATAAAAAGGTGAATAAACGTTTTAAACATAAAATTGTCTCCGTTTTTCTTGAATTTACATTATTGTTGCTAACAGACGTATGTATTGTATCATCTTTGTATAATGTTTTAGTATTATATGAAGTGATAGGTATATTAAGTATACTTAAATTGTTATTGTTAATAATAGATGTAGGATTGAATGAAGATTGTTGAGTTAAATAGGTACGTTGAGATGGTGACAATATTGAATTCACATATGACATATTTAATAAATTTATTTGATGATTGTAATTATTATTGTTACTTCTAAATGGATCTGTAATGTTTGAACACGTTCGATGTACTGAAACATTCACCTGTTGATTTGAATGTAAACTTGGATATAATAAATATGATTCATAATTTCTAGAATTTGTGCTCATATACAAGACTGTGAGAGAGAGAGACTCCGGTTATTTGATATGAGTAAAATAGATTCCACTTTAATCTATAAAATTAAGTAGAATTATATCATTTGCTAATCGGTAAATGGTGTTTATTTTTCACTTAATTTACTGTTTTTAATAGTAGTGGTATTGTGAGGAACTTTTTTATTTAGGGAAAGTTTCATGTCAATCAACTAACCAATCAAATAGCAGTAAAATATTTGGGCCAATCAAAATAATCACGAATAATAACCGATATTTTCGTATATATAGAATAAAACAAATATAGACAGTGGGTTGTAAAAAAAATTGTCACTTATGCATTAAATATTAAAATATCCTTATACATATACACAAACAGATAAATTTATGTCAGAGAAGGGTTTTGTGGATGTTAAAGTAATTAAATAGTTGAATTCATGAGTCAATTAAAGCTAGACCACCATGTAAAACCTGAAAGCACTGGACAATCATTTCGTCTTATTGTGAGACTCCTCAACAGTGCGTATCTACGATCCCGCCTGACGAGATTCGACCCCAGTTAATTATAAACGGGAAAATTGGGAATTTCTTGTTTATTAGTATGAGAAATAATAAATATGACAACAAACGTCGTATTATTCCCCCGAGAAAAAAGTTCAAAACATACAAATTGATTTTTAATGATAAAACAATAAATTAGTTGTACTAATTATCTACTATTTCTTGTTTAAATGATGTTAACGATCATGCTTTCGTCTTAAGATTTCAGGCTATTTAAAGTGTAAACTAATAATGAGAGTGTCCATTTTGTTGATAATCCATGTATAACATAAAATTTATAAGTGTCTGCCCGGTTGGGATCCGTGAGATGATAGCAACCGATGGTTAGAGACCTTGAATGACATTGCTCAAAATCGTTTGCAATGGTGCAGGTGCATCCACTCTTTGTGTTCTCCCAAATTCTAATCTCCTGAATTCTTCATGTCCCTTTCTGTTTTCTCTTTCCAAATTTATTTCACTGTATTATACTCTTTGAATAACATCTTCAAACCGTAATGTTTCCGATTACTGCTTATATTCTTACTATCTCTACCACAATGGGATTTGAATGGACAATTGTATGTGTGTGCTAGTGTGTTATAGTAACTCGAACTGACCTACGTACTTGTGTACGACGTTCTACGTTGTTACTGACTGACTGACTGACTGACTAATTCTATTAGTTAGTGATTAACACCCATTACACCTAAGTCAAATGTTATTACTAACCCAAATGATAACGAAACCTTGTAGGGTAAAAATGTTTTTACAACACAATATTTGATGACTTTCTTATCAATATATTCAATTTCATGAATGTTTATATATATTTAGTCGTCATTGTCTGACTCTGATATGATTGGACGATGATGATAGTATAATATATAGCTTATATAACATGTAACCTCTGTCGACTAATCATATCAAAACATTGCAGAAATAAAAATATCAAATATAAATTGCATTTAGAATATGTATTTTCCAGTCACTCTAGTGATCAAACAAACTAAATGAATGAGAATAGAAGTTAACTTGATACAGAAAGGAAAATAATCAAAACTCACTGAATGAATAGTCGATGATTTATTCTTTATATAATTGCTATTTGGAGTATAGACGTCAGACACAAAAAGCAGGCACAGATAAAATCTGTCTAAAGCTAACAGTAACTAATCAACAAGAATACATTTATAAAAATGGACAATAAATAATATAGAAAAATGGAAATATTCATTGATGAATACAGTATTATGGTGTATGCTACTAATGTCGACAGATATAAGTAATATGTATTATCAATAGAACGTAAAATGTCTGGAGACAGAAGGTTAAGAAGTTTAATGAAAACAGAACGAGAACAATGAATGATTTGTCTGGAACTAAAAGAACAATGAAATCTGAGACGATTGATTGACATTTTGCAGATGAACTTTTCACTGTATGGTTCTCAGGTTTTACTAAAATATTATTTAATTTTGTGTTGAAATGCATTCTTTTGTCTCCACTTGTGTTCTCGTTCACTACAGTATAATCAATAAAGTTACAATTCAACATGTAAAAAATGAGGAAAATGGTCATACAAGAGTTTGTATCAGTTTGCCACGCTACGATAATTTTTTTGATTCAAGTGTACAGTTGTCACTAACAGTTTCGTGTGCAAATATGAACAGTGAATAAACCGAATGATGTAACAGATTTTATAGCGCGAACTGTATTACTATAAGTTGGTGTAGTTTTTACAGTGCGTGTATAGAATTAATAATATAAAATTAAATCGTAATGTAATTAGAGTAAGTTGAGTGAAGTCTTTCTGTCACAATTTTTAAAGCTATTGAGAAGGCTTAAGGAAAATAATATCAGAAACAAATATGAGTGAGATCTTAGGAAATCTCAAGAACAATTCAATAAATGCGGGACAATCTCAAATGCGAAACTAATGAAATAATAATAAACCAAGACCATTGTACACAACGTTTGGGTTACCTCTTTTGGATAACAATCACTTCTAATATATTGTACTGTCTTGATGAAAATTTTTTGATTGAGATCATGAACCGATTGATGTTAGATCACCGTTGGAAACCTTGAAGCACTTCTGAGGAGTCGCACATTAGGACGAAACGACCGTTCATTGTCCCCAGGTTTCCAACAATGGTCTAACATCAATCGGTTCATGATCTCAATCAAAAACTTCATAATCTCCACAACCCCTATACTGTTAATGAGAATTTGTTGAAAAGAGGGCTTTTCATTGAATTTCATGTATTACCATTTTAATAGAAATTATAAATTTATAATTGATTTGCCACTAATAGCTTGTATGTCTGTGGTATTAGTTTTATTACACATATAACTCGTTGATAGAATTCACTGTAGTTACTCAACTTAAATGTCTCAATGACTTACATCAGAATCACTTACCATCATATCAGTTTTGAAAACGATCTATAGTATGTTTATGAGAATTTTAATTACTATCATTAATGCTCTTCTTTCCTTCTTTTTTTAAATTCCTTAACTATTCCTACTGAAACGAAACTTCAGATCAATTTAATTCCATAAATCAACAAACTGAAAATTCATTAGAAGGAGATTGTGTGGAGATTGTAATAATTTAATAGTCGAATCCAATTTTCCCATGTTGATTTAGCTTTAATTCATTCATGAATCCAACTATTACATTGAAACAAGGTTTTACTAATCTTATAATAATAAAATTCACTGACAAATGGGTTTCTCTGTTCTTTATTTTTGTTATTGTACTGAAATGAAACGTTCTATTTAAATATTTTCTACTAACACATAAATGTTTATGTAATTCATCTTAAGTAAAGAAATTCTATCAGAAGGGGTTTTGTGGAGATCGTAGTAATTTCAACAGTTGAGATCATGAATCACTTGAAGCTAGACCATCATGGAAAACCCGGAAGCACTGGACGGCCGTTTCGTCCTATTGTGGGACTCCTCAGCAGTGCGCATCCACGACTTCAGAACCAGGACCGATCAGTCTCGCGCCAGGCGCTTAACCAACTAGGCCACTGAGCCGGCATCCAGCGGTGTTAATGTCTAACTTCCACTAATCCACGAAATTGAGCGACACATCCACCATTGTCATCAATGAGTTATTACCTCACAACTGACCCTGTTGAACTCCACTGGTCACTGCATCTCACTAGAACTCCAGGATATACCTCCTGAAGCCAGTCACTAGTGCGCATATACTGATTAGTATCAGAAGGGGTTTTGTGGAGATCGTAGTAATTTAAACAGTGGATGCACACTGTTGAAAAGTCCCATAATAGGACAAAACGGCCGTCCAGTGCTTTCAGGTTTTCCGTGGTGGTCTAGCTTCAATTGACACATGATCTCAACTGTTGAAAGAAATTCTAGTTTTACGTAAGACCTAAGTTTTGAACAATCCTTTAGAACATTAATTTTACGAAGTATAATTTCTTAACGACATCAAATTTCCCTTCAAGATTATTTATGACGAATGAATGATCTATTAGAGTTCTATCTTGATTGCCAATATAAAAAGAGAACTATAATGGGAAAAAAGGGTTGATCATTTTGTTTATATTATAGAATCTAATTTTTTTTTAAAAAGTACGGGGAAATTACATCCTCTTATCAACAAACTATTCTACAATAGACAGTTAGCAATTGACAGTCATCTAACCAATATTAACGTTTTACATATGAAAATTGATGAACGAAAATGGATTATTTATTGATTTTCTAGTCAGTGAATATATATTTGATAGAGTAAACTATTTTTAATGTAAATACGTTTAGTCAAAATATTTAGTTTCTAATGTTGATCATTATTCATCTGAAAGTTGCATAATGTACAGGTAACTTGAATAACTATGTGTTCTTAATTGAATGTTGCTTGAACTGTATAGATCATGAAACATTGTGTGATCCATGCAGTTTAGAGTTGTTTGTCAGTTTGAAGCTGAGTAATTCCAAATTGTATGTTATAGGAGAAACGTTGTCAACTAGGATTATTTGAAGGACGTGGTTCGTAAATGGACATACTGTTTAGGAATTACTTAGAAGTATTCGGAGTGTACATCGATGTTGACCAGTCTTCAAAATTAACTTCTTCTGCCTTTCATACAAAATATATGTCATAAAAAGAAATATGTTGAGTAATTAGTACTCTATGTATAGTTTTGTTCTAGATGGTTTAGTCGAAGAGATTTTATTGTTTTTTTGAAAAACATCATCAGTACAAACTTTATGTAGAAGTGAGAATTTCAAGTTTCTCCACATATTCGAACATTTCACTTCTGCCTGAAGTTTGTACTGAAGATGTTTTTCAAAAGAATAATGGAAGCTTCAAGACTAAACCATCCAATATAGAAAACAAAATTACACTTAAAGCACGAATTATTCTATGTGTGTCTTTTTATGACATACCAATTAAAATGTGTTTGTTAATCAATCAGTTTTTAACTTTCATTTAGAATGTTGTACAGAATAAATCCACTTGAGGATTGTTTCAGTTTAATTTAGTTTAATTAAAATAGTATTTTATACCTTACATAACGTTTTTATAGAAAGAGACCCATAACGTTTAATCATAGTAGCATTAATAGTAATAACTAAG